CCTTGGGTGGCTCAATCGGTTAAGTGCTCGACTCTTGATTTTAGCTCAGGTCATGATCCCAGGGTAGTGAGATCAAGCCCCACTTCAGGCTCCACACTCAGCAGGGAGTCTGCTTGAGGATTCTGTCTCCTCCCTCCTCACTCATGCTCTCTAAAATAAAATCTTTTTAAAAGACTTAACATTTCATTTTTCATCTTTCACCCATTCTAGCATCTGATATTCTTGCCTGAAAGAATTACTGTGGTTTTTGCCAAATAATGTTTTATTTCTATCATTCCTTCTATATTAATTGGAATTCTGTAAAGAGCTTTCCCTTCTCCCCATAATTTATTCCATTATTTATACCAGCACCAACTGACGGATATTTTAGGCTCTGTGTTACAATCCAACACTGTCCTTTTTGTTGCTCAGTTGTCCCAGATTTGGTTACTGGGACACCCTTTGGTTGGTTCCTATGTCCTCTTGACAGATCCCCATCATTTTTTGAGCACTTCTTTACTTTCTGGCACCACATATTTATGGACTGAATTTTCAAGTTAACCACGACCATACCTTTACATGATGGAGACAAAGATGGGTGGGGAACGGGGCAAGTAAGGAAAGAAACAGTGGTATCAGTTGGAATATGTAAACATATACACAACAAAATGAGGAATTAGGGGTAGCTGTTCTTGTTGCTTCAAAAGATAACAAGGTCAGAGTTGGATTTGGGAGGACTTTTGATGGTCTACTACTCCCTTCATGTTCCCTTTACCTTTAGCTAACATCTCAGCTAGTTCTTCACTCATCGCAGAAACCCTCTGTCCCTGAAGGTTGAAGGAATCGTCCAGTAAACTGCTAGTGGACTAAATGGGCTGCTCAAAGTGGCCCCCATAGACTGGCGCCAATCTGTGGGCTGTTACCAGTCTGTGATGTGATAAGTACAAAAATGGAGATCTGTGCTAAGAAGCTTTTATAGCAATTTGACATTACATGATATCCAAACACATGATCAACAGACTCCTCTCAAATGAACATGGTACAGACCACAGAGCAGTTTGGGTGTAAAGCCTGCACAGTGAGCCACATACAGAACAAGCTGCGTCCCAGTCACGCACAACAAAACCATGTCCTCGTGGAAGATATTTTAAGGTCAGTTTGCCAACTGTTACCCCAAAGTATAAAAATTTAATTCTGACATCATAAATTGTTAGTCCTGAAGATCTGAAGACCTATTTTGGGGAGTAAGTCATCACTTCCTTTTAGTTTGGATGAAAATTAAAAATAAATATCCTGAGCTTGCTGAATTACTTTAAAATATCTTCTTTCGTTTCTGTCAACATAGCCCTGCGAGACTCTAGTTTCTCTACTATAAATATATATGAAAACAGAGAAGTCATTCAGCTCCGTATCATCCCTACATATAGCACTGTCCTCCGTCCAACCTGAATTAGATAAGGTAACAAGCAACCAAACTTACTGGTCACATTTAAAACTTTAAATAATAATATACATGGTTTTTGCTCAAAGTACATATAGGTATTGGATATGGGGGAATTGCTTTGTCTCGTAACTGTTAACTGTTACTTAGTTATAATTGTGTAATGATAAAGTTATGAATATAATAGTGATTAC